AAACGAGGTACCTGCTGGGCCCGCTCTCTCAGTATCCACTGCTCTCTTGCAGCAACTGGGGATTGTGGCTTCGTTCTCGCTCAGATTCTGAAGCTCCATACGTTGCTGTTTTCAGCTATTTGAGCTTGAGCAAATTTATCTTAGCTGGGTTTAGAAGTCAATAGACATTGGACTGGGTCCAGGATTTGATTGGATCTGATAATTAACTGGCTTGGATCCAGTTAGATGCCTCTGGGTATCTGACTGGGTCAGACAGAAACCGCCAGTAAATATTTTAATAGCAATACTGCAGAGGTGTAAACTCTAGCTCTAAGCAACTCACAAGGATTTCTGTGTTCTATCCCCTTTGTTTCTTTTTCTTGTGGGGAAAAATCATTAGGCAAGTTAATCAAGGGGATCTGAGAGCCAAAGACAAGATTCAACATAAAAATGGGATCTTTAATTTCTGAGGAACGGAGTACTCTACCTTCTAGCTACACCTACCTATACCTGTATAAAGAATAGGCCCTGGAAGCAGCAAACACAGAAATGGTGAAATCTTACTAATATTTAAAGTTATGGTGGAACATCCCAAACCCTGCACTTTAAGAAGTGCATTTAAAAATGAAGTATCCCATTTTAGTGTCATCCAGGGATGCCTGTTAATGTTCAGAAGCTTCTAAAAAGATTTTAATATTTTTACAGAGTCTTTTAAAAGATTCTTTATAAAAGGCAAATAAAAAGCTTAAGTGACTAATTGATCAAAAAATTAGGTCTTCTAACCTTTTGTCATTGTTACTGTTCTGCCCTGAAAGAGAAAAGAAAGCTGGATAATGTGTTTACAGAACGTAGTACGTGTGGTGGCTCATGCCTGTTAAGCCAAGGTGGAAGGATCGCTTGAGGCTAGTTCAAACCAGTCCAAGCAACATAGTAAGGCCCCGTTCCTACAAAAAATGAAAATAAAAGCCAAGCATGACGTTGCATACTTGTAGTTCTAGCCTCAAGGGAGGCTGAAATAGGAGGATTGCTTGAGCCCAGGAGTTCAAGATTATAATGAGTTATGGTCACACCATGCACTCCAGCCTGGGTGGCTGAGTGAGACTGCCTCAATAAAAAGAAAAAAGAAAATAAAAAGATAGGTAGGCCCTTATGTAAAGTAAGCTTGCTTCTTTGTTAGAGCTATCCATGCTGAGTCCAGACAAAGAAAATGCTTTCTTTGCCCAGTTCAGTAATGAGCTCTGCCCGGAACTCAGTAATTTTAGCAAAGAAACTAGCTAAGTTAAGAAGGCCACCCATTGAACTAAATCAGTCTCCAAAATATACCTTTCTGGCATTTAGCTGGCTACTTTAAAACCCTTTTGTAAATGAAATTTATAAAGGAACTCCCATTTGTAACGGCGTCTGCACTGAGAAGAGGATAACTGGGTCACTAGAAACTCTTACCATTGATTTAAATTAACATAAATCTTACCATTGTTTAAGGTGCTTTTCCTTGCCATCTTGTCTTAACTGGGTCTTTACCTACACTTTTCTTTGTTGGTTTGGGGAACCGATGGTACAGTATTTAGGCCGGAAGTCTCAGCTCTGTACTTTTGAGATACAAATTTGTAACCTTGTTCCACCTAGGAGTCATCCCTTTAGAAGTACAGATTTAGGATTGCTTAGGGGAATGAATCAGGCATTTGGAAGATTGATAGTCTAAATGAGGAAAAGAGACTATTTGAAAGCCAGCAAATGGGAATTGTTTATGAAGGTTTTAAGATCCACTTCTGTCTTTCTGTCTGTATGTCTATGTGTGTTATGTGTATGTGATAATATTTGGTAACTAAAGATAGCATTTAGATTGTTAGCAAAATAAAATAGGATTGAAACCACCTTTGCAAAATTATGACAGTAAAAAAATCTGACATAGTCAATTCCATCTTGCTTCTGACCCCTAAACTGTCTTTGGTCATTTCAAAGGCCAAGCTAACTTTCTGAGGATTTTAGTTGATAGTTTAACGGGAAAGCAAGGATAATAGTCCCTCCCTAAAGCTAATCCCTTCCTTGCCCAGGGACCAAAAACCGCCTTTGTAAGACTAAGTAAAGGCCACAAGAATAGGATTATGGGAGGGCCTGAACTCTGCTAACATGTAGGCATAGTTTCTATAACCTCAGTACTGCTCAGGTGTCATGTGGCCAGAGGTCACCAGATTTGTGACTTCCCTAATTGCCCTTGTAGATAACATTCTATTGTAGAAACTAAGATGGTTTTTTTGAGATATTTTTCAGACTGACCCTACTCAGACCCATAACTCATGACTCACCTGGTCCTATGGCCGCACCTGGAAGTATTACAGACTCAGGGCCTGAGGACTGTTTTCCAAATCCCTATGATTTCATCTCCAACCAATCAGCAGTATCCATTCCCTAGGCCCCTGCACACCAAATTGTCCATAAAAACCCTAGCCTCCCAGCCTTCAGGGAGACGATTTGAAATGATAACTTCAGTCCTCCTGTATGGGCTGGTCTCATGTCAGTTAAACGTTTCTCTACTGCAATGCCATAGTTTCAATGAATTGATTTTGTCTGGGCTGCAAGCAGAAAGAACCTGTCAGGCAATTACAGAAATAGCTTCAGAATTGTCAGTTAAATATACTTCAGGCATTTTTGCTTTATAGCCTACTGGTCAGACCGGTCTTTGCTATCTCTGATACTTGTTTTAAGGTCACAAAACTGCTAATTCTGCAGTGTTTTAGAGACAAAGTTTTCCTGTGTCACCTAGGCTGGAGTGCAGTAGTGTAATCACATCTAACTCCAATGTTGAGCCTCCTGGGCTGAAGCAACCCTCCCACCTCAGTTTCCCACATAGCTGGGACCACACTTGGCTTTTTTTTTTTTTTTGAGTCAAGATCTCACTGTTTCCCAGGCTGGTCTTGAGCTTGTGGCCTCAAGAGATCCTCCCACCTCAGCCTCTCAGAATGCTGGGATTACAGGCAGGAGCTGCCATTCCTAGACTTGATTCTGTAATATTTTTAACACTTACTTGATTTGCACTCCAAAGTCTTGCACACATTTTACTGTGAGCAAGTTCTGTTGTTGTTCATTTGTTTTGTTTTGAGATGGAATCTCATTTTTGCCACCCAGGCTGGAGTGCAGTGGCGTGATCTCAGCTCACTGCAACCTCTGCCTCCCAGGCTCAAGCAATTCTCCTGCCTCAGCCTTCTGAGTAGCTGAGATTGCAGGCACCTGCCACCACACGCAGCTAATTTTTGTACTTTTAGTAGAGATGGGGTTTCACCATGTTGGCCAGGCTGGTCTCGAACTCCTGACCTCAGGTGATCCACCTGCCTCAGCCTCCAAAGTGCTGGGATTATAGGCGTGAGCCACTGCAACTGGCCTGTGAGCTTGTCTTTGGTTTTCAGCTTCTGGAGTCTGGACAGGTGGCCATGGTGAGGCTTAAAGTCATGTCCTCACTGCCTAGACCAGCAATTGCAAGGCAGAGTCATGCCCAAGAGTCACACCTTCTTCCTGGCCATTCTGGGAATGATTAGATCCTCCAGACATCTTTAAAGCTCTATACTCTGTCCTGGGTTGTATACTTAGAGCATAATATCAAAATTCAGAATGGCCCAGTCCTCATAGCTGTCCTAGGTACCATGTGAGTACTCAGAACCCAGGACTTCTAGGGAAGACATTAGGGAATATACCTGTATTAATTTCTAAATTATTTAAAGTAATTTAAAATCTTAAAATTATGTTATATTACAATAAGTAATAGATGATTATGAAATAACCAAGTCATTTCTAAGTAAGTTAAAATTCTGAAACATTATTAAACATAAGTTTAAGTTCATGTATGTTGGCATCTTATTTTTGCATGGCATAGAAAAGCTAGTTATATTCAGATCTGTTAATAAACAAAAAATTAAGGAAACATATCTTTCTAAAAATTTATGAAATGATTTTTATCTATAAATACTTATGGGCCAAGTGTGGTGGCTCATGCCTGTAATCCCAGAACTTTGGGAAGCCAAGGCAGGTGAATCATTTGAGCCCAGGATTTCAAGACCAGCCTGGGCAATATGGTAAAATCCCATCTCTACAAAAAATGCAGAAAATTAGCCAGGAGTGGTGGCACATGCCTGTCCCTGCTACTGAGGAAGCTGAGATTGGAGGACTGCTGGAGCCCAGGAGGTCAAGGCTGCAGTGAGCTGTGACTGTGCCACTGCATTCTAGCCTGGGCAACAGAATGAGAGCCTGTCTCAAAAACAAACCCAAAAAACTTAACATAAAACAGTTCAAAATTACTTACGTCTAGGTTTTCACAAGAAATAAGGTTAACAATTCTGCATATGAAGTTTATTTTTTGAAAAAAGCAAGATACGTTTTTGGTGAGGAAAGTGGTAAAGGCATAAAAAGGTGTATTGGCTGGGTGCAGTGGTTCATGTCTGTAATCCTACACTTTGGGAGGCCAAGGTAGGGGGATCATAAAGTCAGGAGTTTGAGACCAGCCTGGTCAACATGGTGAAACTCCGTCTCTACTAAACATACAAACATTAGCCAGACATGGTGGTACATACCTGTAATTCCAGCTACTAGGAGGCTGAGGCAGGAGAACTGCTTGAACCCAGGAGGTGGAGGTTGCAGTGAGCTGAGATAGCGCCACTGCATTCCAGCCTGGGCAACAGAGTGAGACTCCATCTCCAAAAAAAAAAAAAAAAAAAGTTTGTCGAAAAAATGTTGTGAAGTTACTTAAAGCTTGTTTGAGATGGAAGGAATAAAAAAGGCATAGATAAAACTAAATATAGGAAGTTGAAAAAATAGAAGAAAAAATGTTATTAGATTATAAAAGGTTTATGGAAATCTTGTATGGTCAAAAGCTGACTGAAATTGAATGGATTTGTTTATAAGGTTTTATTAAAATTGACTTTAGTGTTTGTAATACATTAATATAAAAGTAAAATTGGTTTTCTTTTGCATAAGATTCTCATGTAGTATTAATAAGAGTTAGTAAAAGACCTTTTTTTCAACTTTTACATAAACCGTAAAGAGAGAGAAGAGAGGAGAGACCAATTCTGTCTTAATTCTGCCTCTTGCTGTCTTTGGTAGGTCTTTTGATTATTTAAATGGATTCTCCTCTCTATCAAAGGATAAAGGTTTTTGTTTTTTAAAACCTTTTAATTATCACTTTGGCTAAATGAATGACAGTTTTACAGTGACCTGTGTTTCTGTTTTAGTTAAGTGTTTTAAACTTTGATGTGTTTGACAGGCTTTCCAAAATTAAATTTGAAGTTCAAAATTAAGTCTTTCTGACCTCAAACCAACTTTGCGATGTTACAGAGGGCCCTTGCAGCATCCAAAACAGAGATAATAAACAAGATTATTTGATATATTAAATTTTATGGGAAGCATTGTCAAATAAGAAATGAAGTTTAACTTTCTTCGAGTTATATTTTTATGGATACATTCTTTTGTATTTCAAAATTGTATGAGATTCCTAAAATTCTGTTATGTCTTGCCATATGTTATTAGTCATAATTACATTATGTTAAATTATTATAGGCTGGCCAGGGGCAGTGGCTCATGCCTGTAATCCCAGCACTTTGGGAGGCCAAGGTAGGAGGATTGCATGAGCCCAGGAGTTTGAGATCAGCCTAGACAACATAGAGAGACCCCATCTGTACAGATTTTTTTCTTTAATTAGCCAGGCATTGTGTTGCACACCTGTGTTCCTAGCTACTGGGGAGGCTGAGGCAGGAGGATCACTTGAGTCCAGGAAGTTGAGAGGTTGAGGCTGCAGTGAGCTGTGATTGTGCTACTGCACTTTAGCGTGGACAACAGAGGGAGACCCTGTCTCACAAAAAAACAAACAACAAAACAACCCAATAACAAAAAAAAATCATAGGCAACAGAAATAAACTTTCTTGTCAATTATATCTTTAATCATGACCATTTTAAGTCATTTCTACAGTCAGTTGTCTAATTTTGATGCATTTCTGAAAACTCTTTATAAGCAAGTAAAACCCTAGAGAACTGTGCCTTCAAGGAGACTCATGGCAAGGATGGAAAGAACGCTTGAATGCATGTTGCTGATAGCTTTAGGATCATGTCATTTGGACTGTGTAAGAATTCCTGGAACTCATGAAGAGACTGACTGGTTTATAAAACTGTTAATCCAAGCAGGAGAAGAAATAATTTAATACCAAAGAAATACTCTGCCAGAGATTTTCATGCTAAATCAGTCAGCACTGGAATCATTAAGATGTGCAGTTTGAATGAACTCCATGATCCTAGTCAAATTGCCTATGATAACCCATTTAATAAACAGGGCTGTGCACCTGAATCGGAGAAACAGAATCGATACTTAAATTTCGTGTTAATCATAGATTCATAGAAAGCCTAGATGGCTGCTTGGGTCTTCCTGAGCCGTTAAAGCTTCCATTATTAAAAGCTCTGCACTTTATGAGTTATCATTGAAGAGAGAAAACAATCCAAATTTAAAATTTACACAGTGTGGTGACTGTTCTAAATTATGAAAATGGTTTATGACCATTTGGTTTGTCATGCTCGTAATCCTGGAAAGACATTCAAAACTTTAGGTACATTTCTACTACCCAATGGGCTATTTGAATATATAGAGAGATTTCATTCAATTGCCATTTTTAGTGCATGTTTTCTGGTTGTATAGAAGCTTTCCATTGCAAGAAGGCTGATGCTATAACAGTAGCTAAAAGGTTAGTAGGAAATGTGTTTTCCCCCATGGAGCATTCCTGGAGAAATCTCTAGGAATAAAGGTACTTGTTTGACTGGACAAGTTATAAAACAAATAAGGTTTTTTAAGTTGCCACAGCATTAGGCAAAGCTAACTGAATTGACTAGATTGTCATAGTCAAACATGTTGCAGATCTGCCTCTAATGGAAGACCACAAAATAGTCACTGGAAAGCCTGTGACCCTAGTATTAAAACCTCATCTATCTTCTGCTCCTAAACTCTGATATGACTAAATGCTATGAGGTTTTAATGCATTATGTCAATGTGTATTTTCACCAGGTAAAGGAATTTTTACCTGATCCACTAAGTGAGGACAATCAAACCCTTCATGAAATAGTATCTGGAGACTGTCTTGTAAAAATAATATCAGAGAAAGACTGCCCTTACTGCTCATACTATAGCAAAACTTTGAGGCTTTGAACTATGGGTCCATAATCTCACAACTCAGAAGGGTACCTCTAGACTCTTGGAACTGTGTATCTATTGGAGACTTTAAGGTAAAGCTGACCAGAGATGTTTTTCCCCAGAAGCAGACAGCACCACAGTCGTGGACAGCTTTCCCAGGATCACAAATCAAGACTTCTCTGCTGTCATAAGATGCATACTTCTTAATTTTTTCTTGCTTATGCTTCTATGAACAATAGAATTGGAAAAGGGGTCTTGTGTGCACCCCCAGGGTATACTTTTATTTGTAGAGGATTTTGCCACCAACCTTATACGTGGGCAAACTTATGCCTTGATGGATGGAAGATAAAGAGCCAATATGTGTTAGAAATTTTAATGTTACCTTTGTTTCTCCATAATAACTCAGAAACAGAAAACTGGTCCACTCCTGTTAACCTACATCATAGGTTGAAGAAAACACTATCAGGCGGCCTTCACTCTTCCAGATGGGCATCATTTGTTGGGTCTTTTTCCATGGCGTGGACAAAATGAGGCAATATTAGAAATTGTTCCCCTGGCTAGGCATGGTGGCTCACACCTGTAATCCTAGCACTTTGGGAAGTCAAGGCGGGTGAATCACCTGAGGTCAGGAGTTCAAAACCAGCCTGACCAACATGGCAAAACCCCATCTCTACTAAAAATACAAAAATTAGCCAGGCGTGGTGGCACATACCTGTAATGCCAGCTACTCCAGAGGCTGAGATGGGAGAATCACTTCAAGTGGTTCAACCTGGGAGGTGGAGGTTGCAGTGAGCCAAGATCACGCCACTGCATTCCAGGCTGGGTGACACAGCAAGACTCCATCTCAAAAAAAAAAAGAAAAAGAAAAAGAAAAAGAAATTGATCCCTCATAATAGGCTCTATAGCAGTTTCTACTACAAAGACTATAGTTGCAAATAGACTTCTTTGAATTTGCTTGCTAAACTTGTACTGGATAAAAGAATTGCTCTAGATTGCCTACTGACAAAACAAGGAAGAATCTGTGTAGCTACTGACATGACTTCTTGCACGTAAAAGAACACATCAGGTATTATAGAGACTCAATTGTAAAAGATTAGTGAACAGACTGCTTGTTTGAAATGAGTAGACCCTTTATCTGGCTCAGACTTTGATCTATTTGATTTTAGTCGGTTTGGTTCATGAGGACGCTGGCTAAGGAGCATATTCTAAACTCTTGGTGTTATCCTCTTGATAGGCATAATAGTAATCTCCCTGGTATACTGTATTCTCTGAAAAGTTTTAAATGTTTGCATGCAGCCATCCAAAAAAATGTCAAATGGTCTCTCTTCTACTGGAATAACAAAAACTCTAAGAAATGCATGATCATGAGGAAACGTTGGGCTGAGATAAGTAACTGAGAGTAGTGCTGAATCCCTACATCACACTCTCATCTCAGTGATAACCTGACTCAAAGGGAGATCTATTCAACAAAATTTTGTGAGGCCATTGTTTTGGACTAAACTCATGCGTCAGACCCCAATAGGCCAGAACAAACCAAAATGGAGTCTCTCATGCTAAATGCAACATAATCAAATGGAAATTTAAGGGAGGCAGACAGATTCCAAAACTGACCAGTTTTTTTTTTCTTCTGAAGACAAAAGATTCCAATACAACAACGAAGTCCCCTCTGCTCTAACCCTTAAAAAAAGTAATCTAAAATCCTTGTTCCCATCTTATTAAACCTAAAGTTCTGCTACTTCCCAGTGGGATTCGAGATTGGTGACAGAGTAACATCAGTGCCTAAAGTTTTGGTCAATTTTTTAAAAATTGAGAGGCTTACTAAAAGGGGGGAATTGTTAAATTAAGTTTAGCCTAAAACTGCCTTTTTGCGTAGTTTAAGTTCACCCTCAAGATTTCTCCATACATACTGAACTGTAACCAAACCATATTCTGGATCATTTTTCTTTGTAGTGAAATGATACATCATGAAAGATAGATTATGGTCTTTATTTTATTTTGTTTTATTTTATTTATTTATTTTTTTGAGATGGAATTTCATTCTTGTTACCCAGGCTGGAGTGCAATGGCGTGATCTCGGCTCACCGTAACCTCCGTCTCCTGGGTTCAAGCAATTCTCCCGCCTCAGCCTCCTGAGTAGCTGGGATTACAGGCACGTGCCACCATGCCCAGCTAATTTTTGTATTTTTAGTAGAGACAGGGTTTCACCATGTTGACCAGGATGGTCTCGATCTCTTGACCTCATGATCCACCGCCTCGACCTCCCAAAGTGCTGAGATTACAGGCTTGAACCACCGCACCCAGCCTATGGTCTTAATTTTTTAATTAGAGAAGAGCTATGTTATATTAAACATAGGAAACTGGCTGGGTGCGGTGGCTCATGCCTATAATCCCAGCACTTTGGGATGCCAAGGCAGGCAGATCACGAGGTCAGGAGATCAAGACCATCCTGGCTAACGTGGTAAAACCCCATCTCTAAAAAAGAATAAAAATAAACATAGGGAATCATAGAAACTGTTAAGGTCTATGATAGGAAGAATTTTAAGTAGTATTGATTAGGGGAGCTCTTACAATAATAATTTATATATATATTTGCTTTCATAAAATTTTCTTCCTATTTTTGAGAATAATAGGAATAATGTACATTTTCTCCTGTTTAATTGAGCTTTTTGTTTGTTTGTTTTGAGATGGAGTTTCCCCTCTCGTTGCCCAGGGTAGAGTCCAATGGTGCGATCTCAGCTCACTGCAACCTCCGCCTCCTGCGTTATTCTCCTGCCTCAGCCTTTAGAGTAGCTGGGATTATAGGTGCCCACCATCAGTCCTGGCCAATTTTTTGTATTTTTAGTGGAGACAGGATTTCAGCATGTTGGCCAGGCTGGTCTCGAACTCCTGACCTCAGGTGAGTGACCCACCTTGGCCTCTCAAAGTGCTGGGATTACAGATGTGAGCCACTGCACCCAGTCTCTCTTATTTGTATTCATTCTAATGTTTACTTACTTCTTCAATTTATAAAATGTGGTCATTTAGAGTTCTTCAGCCTATCTTAACATTCAGCCACTATTACTAATAATTGGGATGGAAAAAGAAAAATAAATCATATCACCTCTCCTCTTCAGTGTATGTATGTGTTAACCAAGTAAATATAGTATTCTTTCCCATTCCTAATGAAAATTCTGTTTTCGTACTGAAACATACTGAAATACTGCAAACCTCTGTAAATATTGTGATTTATTTGACCAATACAAATGATCTTTTTAGAGATGGCAAACAGTCCTCAGACCTATAGGAATTATTTATTTAATGATAGTTTCTTCTTTAAAAAAAATAAATAAGTGTTTAGTTACCAAATCATAAACAACCCCTTAAAAGACATTCAATCTCATGGGTCAGGAAGGTGTTGATGAGTATATTTTGTTAATAAAATATAGCAGAGAAAGCATAAACTATAAATGGAAAATACAACAGATTATACCAAAGAGAATACATTAAAATGTATTAACAAATCGGATGATTGGATCCTTCTTTAGGTGGAAGTTATTTGAGAGGATAAGTCCATGGAAATTAAAAAATCATGATTCCTTCATTGTAGGCTATAAGAATGGACTTAGTCAGCTGAGATTAGTATGGGGGACTCTACAAGAACCTATACTAGGATAAGAATATTGGAGGAAAAACAGCGAATGAGGTACCAGATGTTATGGTGTTCCATCTTTGTAAATACATGCAATAAAATCTGGTCTATCTGGCTTTCTTTCAACCTGAATGTCACTCACCAATCTCACTACATTGCTGCAATACTGTAATTGAGGTTTATAATGATGACCCTGACATGACTTCTGAATCATAGCAGAAGATTAAATTATGTTCTGTTTTTCCTTCATGTATCAATTATATTTTTATTAGTTGCCAACTGGAAATCTGATCTGTTTGAAAACCCTGCTAGATTAATCAGAGCCTCCTTATCAGAGACCCAACCATCCTCAATAGCAGAGTTTATAGTTCATGGAGGAAAACAAAACAAAAAAATACTGAAAAAACACCCAGGAATTGATTTTTAAATGTGACATTTGTACTATCATAGCAAGAATAATTGTTACAAGATAATTTTGAATCATCCAGCCACATTTAAAATAATTCTAACAAATGAGTTAATAATAAATGCTATGTAGTCACTTCTTTTTAATAAGTATACTTCATATTCTGTAGTGAGAAAAAAATTACCTTGGATTAAATAAATCTTCATCTCGGATCTGATAGAATGTGGTTAGTGTCAACAAGAGAGCAGATATTAGGCATATTATCAGTTGAGTTGGTTTGTATGTAAAAGTTTGGTTTGAGGGTCCCGTCAAGCTGCTTCTCATCTCACCCTTGGTCTACCCAGAGATGTATCTGATAGCTCTGGTGACAAAAAAGGCCCTCTAATAAATGTGTAAACAAGCATGTGTCCTAGGTCAGATTCCCTGTAAGAGGAGCCTGAGACAGAGATTCTTGTGCAAATGTCTTTTTGAGGATGGTCTCTAGGGAAAGGGGGAATGAGGACAGTAGCACGGAGCAAGAGGTTAAAGCTAAAAAAAGGCGTGGCCTCAGCTGGAGACTGGCTTTGGTCTGATCCTGTGTGGAACCTGCTATAGTTTAGATGTTTGTCCCTCCAAACTTAAAGTTTAACTTTGATCTTCAGTGTTGGAAGTAAGGTCTCCTGGGCAGTATTTGGGTCATGGGTGAACAGATTAACGCCTTTCCTGGATAGTGAGAAGGAGGGAGTTCTTCCTCAGTACCTGAGAAAAGAGCCTGATGCTCTCCATCCCTCTACTGCTCCCCACTGCTTGCTTCCTCTCTCACATGTGATCTCTGCACACATGGGCTCCTCTTCACCTTTGTCCATGAGTGGAAGCAGCCTGAGGTCCTCACCAGCAGCAAATGCTGGTGACATGCTTCTTGTACAGTTACAGAACCATGAGCCAAATAAACCCCTTTATAATTTACCCAGCCTCAAGCATTTTTTATAGCAACACAAAACATTCTTTATAAATTACCCAGCCTCAAGCATTCCTTTATAGAAACACAAAACAAAGACAGAACCCTAGAGCAAGAGTGGCACCACAGTGTTAGTCCCCTTGAGACAAGGAGGCTGGCCTTTTGTACCCCCATTGTCAGTCACTCACTGGCAGTGGGTCAGTGATAACCCCCAGGCAAGGAACTTCTATTCCCCAACTGGACTGGCGAGAGTAACTTTCCAAGAACAACTAACACAGCAGCCAGGTATGTTCACCAATCCAAGAAGGGGATCTGGGCAGGGCACCACTTACTCACTACACATGGAAACACTCTCATATATGGGTTATAGCTCCAGAACAACCCCTAATCATCCAACAACAAGCAAAGCATACTATGGAAAGTACTGCAGCAGCCAAACAACATGCATGACCTGGTTTATAAAGGAATATATCTTCCAAGATCAACTAGAAAAAAAAGAATAATTAGAGATGCAAGGAACGCATCTCCTATTCTAATGGGGCTTAGGAATCCTGTCTCTACTCTCCTACCCTTTGTGCCAAGCAGTGGCAACTGGTGGTGACTTCTGGGACTGAGACAAGGTGCCCAATAGGGGAAGAACTGAGGATGTTAGGAAAATCTAGGATGGATCTAGACAGTCTGGGATGGGACAAGGGAACCCTTGGGTTAAGGCTTATGTCTAAGGCTTACTTGCCAATCTCCTTCTTTCTTGTCTCTCACTAGCCCTGGAAATATGCTTGTCTACTTATCGTTCCTCTGCCAATACCTTTTGCTGCCCACTAGGATTGCTATTTTCCCTAGCCTCCTTACAGTCATTTCTCTCTTCAGACAGTTTTTCCACCACTCTTCATATAACCACATTCAACTTCAGTTTCTCTAACATTTTCTAATAGTTTGACAGTTAAATAATATGGGGAGGGGAAACAGACATTATTCCCGTGCTATTCCCCTTCCTAAATTTATTTCTTTTATTTTAAAATTCTTATTTATTTTGAGACTGAGTTAAGAGACTGGCTAATTTTTATATTTTTGGTAGAGAAGGGGTTTTGCCACGTTGCTCAGGCTGGTCTTGAACTCCTGGCTTCAAGTGATCTACCTGCCTCAGCCTCCCAAAGTGCTGGGAGCTGAACTATCATGCCTGGCCCTCCTTCCTAAATTTAGCCTCATAAGCTATATCCAGTGTGAATACTTCTGATGGGTTTTTGGGAAAAACAAAGACCATGTAGTTGATTCACCTGAATTTCACGGGAGTGCCTAGAAGCTGTCCTGGGAGGTGCTGGGTGAAGGTTTTGGTTCAGTGATGAAGTGGAGGAGGTGGAAAGGAGGCTCCAGAGGTGAGATGGGAGCCTGGTATACCTCCAGCCCTTCCCTCCCCAGGGCCTTCACCAGCTCCAGACCTTCTGCTGAAGATACCATATTAGAGTAATGGGAGATACAGTGACAACAGAATGTGTGGCTGTGGGGCAAGAGTGACAAGATATTGGCTGCTGTGGGCTCTGAAGAAACAGAGGAAAATCATATTTTTTTCTTCGCCCCCCCCTCTGGAAAAGGAAAGGAAATTTTCTTTACTCCAAGGCTGGGGTAGAATTAAATGACTCCAAGAACTACTGATAGAGGAATGAGAAATACTACCACTTTGGCTGGGATCAGAGCATGATACTGTAATCAGGTAAGCAAGGAACCTGAGGTGGGCCCCAGCAGCACAGTCTGTGGCATGGTGGAAGGCAGTGGGTGAGCTAGTTAAGACATTTACCGTGTCATTATCTCATCCCTGCCACCTTCCAAAAGAAATCTTTCCCTTCCTGTTGCTCTTCCATCTGTGGAGAGCCCAGCCTTCCTGACCTGTATGGGAAGTGAGACAACTGATTTATAGAAACAACTCAAAAGAACTCTAAGACCCTTTTCTGGAGGGATTGGAAAGATACCAAGATAGATCTTAGTTCAAACCCTGGCTCTGCTTCTTTCCACCCAAATGATCATGAGCAAGTTAGGTTCTCTGGTCTTTATTTTCTGCCTCCCATTTTTTTTTTTAATTGATAAAAGAGGTTTAATTGGCCTATCACAGTTCTGCAGGCTATACAGGAAATGTGGTGTCTCATGAGAGCCCCAGGAAGCTTCCAATCCTGGCAGAAGGAAAGGGGAGCCAGCTGTCACATGGTAGGAGTGTGAGAAAGAGAGGGAGAGGGAGCGGAAGAGAGGAGGATGAGAGAAGAAGAGAGGGAGACAGAAAGGCCTTAACTTTTTTATCTGCAAAAAGAAAAGAGGGTGGTAGGAAGGGGAAGATAATATTGGTGGCACACACAGACTTATTGTGAGGATCAGCTGGAATATGTGTAAAGTACAGTGCCGGGTACATAAGTATTGTTATAACATCATAATTTTAATAATTGTTATTATCTGGAGGCTGTTAGGTGAACATATACTTCATCAAAGCAAATAATTCTAGTTTTCTATTTCAGTATATTCTGTGCCAGGCACTGTTCTAAATGCTCACATATCAACTTTTTTAATCCGCACAATAACTCTTAAAAATTAGGTGCTATTATTATATTTATGTTGTAGAGTCAGAAGCCAAGGCACAGATAGATTAAGTAATTTGCCTACAGTTTTATCCTTAGACAGTGGCAGGGCTAAGATTCAAATCCAGGAAGTCTGGCTTCGAAGTCTGCATTGGCCAATGCAATAGACAGCTAAAGAGTGAGGCAGCAATCAAAGATAACTGATAGAATTGGCACCAGCTCAAGGTGAAAAGATCAGAGTGGAATTTCAAGTTGAGAGTTTGGATTAGGCAGATTCCTTTCACCTGGTGCCCAGAGTGTGCTGAGGGTGAGGACTGAGTGAAGATTGGGCAGGTCTGAAACATCGAAGCCTCACCATAGACTGTTCACCTCGAAAAGTAAGTTAGTCTGTTTTATTTTAGAGTGACTGGTCAGTTTCCAAGTCACTTTCCAAGCAAATTGGGAAAATAACCCATGGATGACTATGACTAAGATAACTAAGTGCATTTTACTAGTTTCTTTCTTTTACCAGATAAAAGGCCATCCTAGGAAACAGTCCCGTGAGTAATATTTCATGAATTATCTTCCTGAACCAGAGCAAGTCACTTTGCCTTCCTGTATGTTCTCTAAGACAAAAGGATGATCTGAAAATATGCCTCCCCGGTGAACCCCAGCCCTGGCTGGCAGATCTGGCTGGCTACTGGGAGTCCCCTTTTCCTCTCCATGGCTCCTGTGCATCCCCCTAAAGACTGTATATTCCAAGAGGACTACATTCCCAGGTGGGGCCATATGGTTCTTATAACAAAGGCTTACAGACTTTCCTCTAATGTTGCACGTAGTTTTCGCGTTCTGAATCTACGAATCACAAATTAGATTGGTGCCTTTGGAAGAGGAGATGAGAGATGAAGCTTGCTACTGCTTCTGATAATGCCCTAAAGAGCAGCTCAAAATACAGCAAAAAGAACGCAGAAAACAAACTAGATAAGTCTTGAAGAGAGATCAACATTAGGAACATCATATTCACTGAATATAATTCTGGGGTCTGTTTTATACTTTATGGATTCACTGTTAGTATTTATGTATCAATGTCTGAGTGGTGGTTCCCATAAAAGTCATTATCCAGTGAGCTCTGTCAGTCACTAAAGCTTTATAACAAATAAATTAACAAAATGTTGATAGCCTAAGAAGAAATAGCTGTATGTCACTTGTTGCCCCTTGGCTCTCAAAACTGGAAGGTCCACATACTAATAGGGGTTATGACAGTATATCAAACTGAAAAAAAAAAAGCCTAACAACACTCCAGTGATTCTAGACACAAGTAGATAATTCAGCCCCTTGTAGTTTCAGAGAGTAAATGAAGAAAAGGAAATTTTTTTCTTCCCCTTAGGGCAGAGATGTTTTTTAGTTCTGTTGTTTTAATTTTAGCACTTGATATTCCCTTGGGAAGGGCTGGTTACAACAAAAACACTATTTATTAGATTCCAAGTATCTGAAATTAAAGATAGATTAGCATGCCAGTCTCCCCTTTCCTCTTTTGTAATGTAAGAGCAATAGTCATTTTACTATGAAGGCCTTGTGGGGAAGGGGTCCAATCCTGTCTGGTCATGTTATGCAGGAGCAAATAAGGAGATAAAAAAGGATTTTTACAATGAGAACACATGGACGTAGGGAAGGGAACATCACACACTGGGGCCTGACGGGGTTAGGAGGAAGGGGAGGGATAGCATTAGGAGAAATACCTAATGTAGATGATGGGTTGATGGATGCAGCAAACCACCATGGCACATATATACCTGTGTAACAAACCTGCACATTCTTCACATGTATCCCAGAACTTAAAGTATAATAATTAAATATATATATATATATATATATATTAAAGCATTTTTAGAAAAAAATTTAGTAAAAATATTTCTTAATAAGCAGAAAGTTATGTAAGCTGAAGAGATGTACTGGAAGGTAAACAGGTGTGGCAGAGGTTTGAAAGGCTGCTAGGCACTGGATTATAATCATTCTAGGATATGGACAACATCTGGGAGTTATTTTCTCTTTCTTTCAAACCTGCTCTTTTATAGCCAGTTCAGTACTCACTGTGCATGAGAGAGGCTTGAGTGAGTCTTTGTTAGATAAATGAAAAGCAAATTAATCCACTTTTCAGAGCTCTCTTCAGAGACCTGAGCCTGAACAAGACAATTCTCTAAAGGACAGAATCTTTGGGAATGAAAAACAAGGACATTAGAAGATGCTGTTTGTTACTTTTTAAATCCCTTTTTCATCCTTGCTACCCTAACTCTTATCCTCAAGGGCAGGAGAACAGAGCACCAGAGATGGCTCCAGGCAAGTCGTGAATTGTGTGCCATCAGCATCTGTCTATAGTGGTGATGCTGGTGCTGACATGAGGTGGTTTATTTATTCTATTTGGACCCCCAGCATCTGTATGTGTAAAAGGGAATAATGACAATGAGTATTTTCCAAAAAATGTGGTTGAAGGATTAACTGTATTTGAGATAGAGTAGGCCTCAGTTCATGTCAGCTACTAGTCTTAGTCTGTCTACAGGAACCAGAAGTTTCAGGTTGGGAGAAGCCTGGTCTTTTGGTGAGGTGCTTTCTTACAGTGGGACAAGGAGTTGATGTGACCAGAAAACCAGCCTCTCAGGAGCAGGAAAAAAGGAGACTTGATGTTCTGATGGTGATTCTGAGATGAGTGTTAACATTAGATGTGGCTGTTAGTCCCCAGGTGGGCAAACAGAAATGTTTCATTCATGCACTTGTTTTTGGTTTTGGTTTTCTTCCTTCTGTTGATAAATATTTTTACTCAGAGGTTATTACTGCAAACAGTGAATTAAAAATACTGGTAAACCAGGCCTCTGATGTGTTATTGTTTTAAAAAATAAAGTTTTATTCAGTCTGAGTCCAGCTTGGCTTTATTGTTCTGAAAGAATTCTGTGTGGCAGGGCAGGGGCTGAACAAAAGAGTAATGTTCAAAGGGTTTCTTGGTGTTGACTGTGAGTGTCTGTTTGTGTTTTTCTGTAAAGTTGGCTTAGGGTAGCCAGATCATATGGGAAAACCTTTTAAGAGTCATATGGTAGCTTTTCAAAAACTCTTTAGAGCTGGGTACAGAATTTCCCTGGACTTACCTCCATCTAAGCAGCCTCTAGCAGAGGGACCAGAGCAATAGTAAGATACCTGTTCAGGGCAGATTTGCATAGGCCTGAAGCAGGATACTCCATCCCAAGCAATCACAGACTGCCAAGAAAGTTCCCTGTCATGGCACAACTTAAGCTGAAAAATTAGCATCACAGCCTGTTGAGCTGGAAGGGGTCCTAGAGCTTCTATCATCCAATCCCTTCATTTTCTAGTTGAGGAATCAAATCTACACATCTGGTGACCTGCTCAAGATAATGCAGCTAATTAGGGTCAGAGTTAAGATTTGAAACAGAATGCAGACAAGTTTAATACCTCTTCTATCCCTTGTTTGTCAGCCTTTATTTCTGAGAAATAATTAATGTTGCAATAAGCTGGAATAAAAGAAATTGGTGAGAGAAATTGTGCTGGCATGTTTGGGGGTGTCTGTATTCTCTGAAACCACAGAAAACATTTGATTAAATAGTTTGCAGCCAATGTGATGATTTATGTTCATTTTCTAAAGGGGACTGTCATTTTCAAAAGTTAAAGAAATCTTTGTTTCATGTTTGGGCTTTACAGTCTGGGCTCTTGATACCCATGGTGATGGGTTATTGTTGCTTGTACCACGGTTAGACCAAGTACTGCTTTGAAAGCATTTCAAGGCCATTTTAGAGGAACCCAAATGTCATGTGTGTCTGACTATAGTACATGCAGTTGTCAAGCTAGAAAACCCACTATCCATTGATAAGCTTTGCAGTCCATGAGCTGTGAGCAGTCCGTCAGTTTCCTAGGGAATAGCCCTCCACTGTGTTTAAAACACAGGGCTCATCCCCAGATCAAACTGCTCCGAATTGCCATTTTACTCAACATCAGGCATCATCAGAAGTCATGTTATAAGCTGTAGGGGAACTATTAAGTTGAACTGAAATAGAACAGCTAGAAAGAAAGAAACAAATGTGTACTTGAAAGATGCAAGGAGTCTGGGCATATTCATCAGGATCCTGTGCAGAGGTAGTATCTTTTTGTTTGTCCTAGGCTAGTTTAAGAATATTCTGCCATGAAGATTCTTTTAGTTTGCATTTTAAGATGTTATCCTTCTCTTAATTTTAAACCATGAGCTTTCCTTGTGCCAAGTAAAAAAAAAAAAAGTGAAATAGAGGTCAGCCTCTCCCTGAATTCCTCTCAGCACGTGAACATTCTTTCTCTACACATGGTCACTTGAACACTGCCCCACCCGAGACCTGCACTGCAGGCACTAAACAAATTCCTAATGGTTGGGCCAGGGAAAACTCAGTTCCAAATTGCTCTCCGCCTTTCCCCTGAGAGATCATGCATGAGTCAGTCTTTGTCCCTTGCCCTAACCCTCAATCTTGTCCTCCCTCTGCCATCGCTTTACATACACATGTGGACATAGAGACTTATACTTGGAAGGCTTTTCCTCCTTTCTGTTGCCTCCCAGCTCTTTCCTGTTTTCTTCTAGAATCCTCTCCTCCTCCACTTCCATTCATTATTTTCTCTCTCTCATTTTGTTCCCTAAATCTACCTGTAATACACAGCTGATAAGCTATGAGTTTTGCTTGTGATAAACCTTGAAGGAAGAAACAGCAAAATCATGCATTTTGGTGTGTGTTCACTGCCACAATGCTTTTAAGAATTTACTTTATATTGAAACCTTCATTTCCTATGCCCTGCTCCACACCATACACTTCTCTAGTTGTACTTAATTTCCTTATTTAAAATGTACTTTATGGCCAGGCATGGTGACTCAGACCTGAAATCTTAGCACTTTGGGAGGCCTAAGCAGGAGGATTGCTTTAGCCCATCTCTACCAAAAATTAAAAAAAAAAAAAAATCCTGGGCATGGTGGTGCATAACTGTAGTTCCAGCTCTGAGCCTGAGAGGTTGAGGCTGCAGTGAGCTGTGATTATGCCACCACACTCTAGCCTGAACAACAAAATGAGAACCTGTCTCAAAAAAAAGTACTTTAAACTTTTTTCTAGTTAACAGTTTTTCCATTTTGAATGCTACAGTACAGTATTGTCTTTCATTGCTTTTCATTGCTGATGTTTAACACACAAAATAAATAAGTCCTCTTGAAATAATTTTGGAACCTGGCCATTTTTAGAACATTGTTTTAAAGAGAAAATGAGTATCCAGCTTTTAGAACATGATTTATTTTAAGTTGGCTATTTCCTCTGTGTGTTTGGTAACAAAAATCTTTTTGATGTGGTAACATAAAATCAGAGAAGCCTGCCTTGGTTTTTACCTTGTTAAATATGTTTGTAATAGAAAAAAATTAACCTTTCATTTCTTGTATTTTTTTGTGTTTGTATAACATTCTTAGAGACTATATTTATCTGTTCTCATTGCTATAAAGACATACCTGAGACTGGGTAATTTCTGGGAAAAAAAAGGCTTAACTGACTCACAGTTCCACAGGCTGTACAGAAGGCTGGGGAGGCCTCAGGAAACTTACAATCATGGCAGAAGGCAAAAGGGAAGCAGGCACAATCTCACATGGTGGAGCAGGAGAAAGAGAGCAAAGAGGGAAATGCTACACACTTTTAAACCATCAGCTCTTGTGAGAACTCACTCACTATCATGAGAACAGCACGGGGGAAATCCACGCCCATGATCCAGTCACCTCCCGCCAGGTTCCTCCCCCAACACTGGAAATTACAATTCAACATGAGATTTGGGTCGGGTCAGAGATCCAAACTGCATCAGAGACCTTGCAATGCATGTTGCTAATTATTTATAATTTTTCATAATTAAAAAGTATATGGAGACCACAGCTTTCCGCTATTTTTGTTCTTCCCCTCTTCCTGGGCACACGAAAGGCTCTATTATCCAGTCTCCCTTGTAGTGAGGTATGGCCATGTGACTGGACATTTGCCAATTGAATATGAGTATGGGAGACTTGAGGAACTTCTGCCTCATCTACATGAGAGGAAACCCCTGGCCAGGGATTCCTCTTCCCCGATTCAGACAGCTGGAATGCCCATGGCCAGAGCACAGTGGAAGCTGAATGCTGGTGGCAGAGCTGCTGCCACCCTAGTCTCCAGTGACTGATGGGTGCAGAGCTGCCCACCACACTGGGACACTTACCTGGGTTGTTACCTGGGACACCAATAAACTTGGCTGTTCCTTGAGCCACTGAATTTTTAGGGCTCTCTTTGGTACAGCAGCTTAGCCTACTCTATAATACTATAACAATAGTATATTGTATAGTATATTGTTGGAAACTATTTCACCCCAATATACTGAAAAATCAAAATATATAAACAAAAGTAATTTTAAAAAAAGAAAAAGTAATTTTCTTCAGAAAATAAAGATCTAGACATTTGTGACTATTTTACTTTGGTTTTAATTATGAATTTCTCTATACATTAAGAAATTTATAAAGCTGGCTGGGTGCAGTGGCTTATGCCTATAATCCCAGCACTTTGGGAGGCCAAGGTGGGTGGATCATAAGGTCAAGAGATTGAGATAATCCAGGCCAAAATGGTGAAACTCTGTCTCTACTAAAAAT